GGTGTAGTCAGACTAAGGTGTTGAGTGCGATTCAAGTGTGTGGGTGTGTGTGAAGCCAGACTAAAGTGTGTGTTTGTGCGATGTTGACTGATGAGGTGAGATATGTATGTAGGAGGTGAGTTCGCCCCCCTCTCCTTCATTTCCCTCCGTCACTCCCTCTCTCCATCTGTTCTAGCTTGGCTTTGGTCTGTTCCAAGACCTCCAAGGCTGCACCAAAGTTGTCATCGTATGTTTTTGGGTCAGGTGTGTGCTGCTCTTTTTCTATGTCTGTCTTAAAGAGAGAGTTTACCCAAAAATTCTGTCATCATTTACTCACCTCATGTCATTCCAAACCTATATTACATTCTTTCTTTCCTCTGTGGAACACAAAATATATATTTTTTGTCTATACAGAGAATAGAGTCAATGGGGTCTATTGTTGTGTTGGACCCTCATGAAGATGTGGGTTAATGTCCATACTGCTCAAAGTTGAATATGAATATCAGCGACCTTGACCTCGACCTTGAGCTATGGACCTTATTTTGATTAGCTCAGAAACAATGTAGTCTGTGTGGAACAGAAAGAGAGAGACATGAGGTGCTTACCCCACTCTGTCTTAAAACACAGAGACTGCTTTCTCAGCACAAGCGACTCCCTGTAGACTCGACATTCTATAGGGTGGATCTTATGAAAAGAGAGCGAGCATGACTTAAAATTCTCTGTCCCACAAACACCCCCTCATACAGACATGCACACCCACCTCACCTGCTTTCATCACTACCACCTGGTCTCTAATGAGCTTGTGGTGCTGAGGGCAGCAGTCTTCGCTGACAGAGATGGATGGAGACTTATTTGTTCATTTTTTGTCCTGTTCGTCTACAGATGTGTGTTCTGTTCTCCTTTCTACTATACTCAGATTTTAATCAGGTTAAATAAAGCCTCTGTTTAGTTTGAAGCCAGTTGGACTCTAAACCCATAATAGTGCTCTAAACCCTTCAGATGTTTAATCAACACAGGAAAGTGTTGTCTTTCTGAACAGACTGGATTTGGATGTGGTCTTGTTTGAGATCGCCTAATGGATCTAGACTCTCAAAGCTGACTGTAGTTCAGTATTAGGAGTACTTGTGAAGAGGAATAACATATTTATCACTTGCCATAATCGTCTGTTTCTTACTGAATTTACCTTGCAAATTTAAATTTAAGGGAAATTTAAAAATTTAAATGTATAATTAAAATAATTTTAAACATACTTTTTAATGTATTATTTAATATTTAATTCATCTTAAATTTTCTTTAAAAACTGAATAATATAATTTTATAAGAACTCCAACACTTTTATTTGCAAAATGGTAAATTCTTGTTTTTGAGCACATTTTAGGACATTTTAGTAGATTTTTCCCCATTATTATCGACCTATACTTTTCCTGTTATTTTAGTAGTTAATAAATAACTGCTCTAGAGGATGAACTTTCTGTGCCATCCTGTGACTGTGTGCCTAGGTTTATTTTTATTTTGAGAGGGGAATTAAGGGCTGACCTTGGGCCATTAATAATTTCAGGGCTAAACAAGGAACAATATTCCTGTGAGTTATAGTGGCCCACTGCATACCCATAACTCTCCAAGCACACTCCTATATTTCCTCAGCTGCTTTTATAAAAGATCATTAATATCATCGTCCTAATGCCCTTAGCCTGAAGAGATTGATCTGTGTATGACAACTCTTTTTCTGTCCAATGTTTACAAAGGTGAAAACTGTATGAGATTAGTGCAACATTTCGTTTAATGTGCAATGGACTGGTTGGTCAAAATAAGTGCGCCCACACTTAACTAAACACATCTGTAGTCACACACACTGCATCATAACGCAGGCCTCAAACACACACAAACTCTAGGCGCTTCCTTCCACAAACTTCTCTGATTGTATATAAGCTGATAAACAGGAAAACCTCGCAGGATAAATACTCCCACACTTCATGCTGTTCCTGAAAGCAAAAAGAGACTCCACTGTCTTTTTTCAGTGCTTTCCCCTATGTGATATTTTAGTCAAATGAACTTGCCGATAACCCTGTCAAGCTTTTTCCCAAGCATCTCAACAGGAAGTGACCTCGCAATGGTGTTAAGAGCACTCAACCCTTGAACTATAGACACACACACACACACACACATTCACATGTGCCTCTTTTGACCCCTCAGAGCTGAGAGAGTTAGATTTAATTACATGTTCTGATGTCACCATCCGCTCTGCTCCTTAAAGACTCAGAAGGAACTTGATTATTAAAAACCTGCTGATAAAATCGACTGCTGCTCCCAACAGTATACATCCACACACACCCAGGGGTGCGAGGTCAATCTCACATACATTTGCAGGTTGATGTGACTCTTGGCACTCGTAAGAGGAAGTATATTAATAGTCCAAGAAGGGATATTACAAATCTGGGGGTGGTTGAGCTCTCAGCCCGGTATTCTTATGATGAATGTGAATGTGATATATTCAGCTCAAATATTTCCATTTAAATAGAGATTTAGGAATGTGTTAAAGGGATAGTTCACACAATAATGAAAATTCTCTCATCATCTGCTCATTCCTGTGTCTTTTATGATCCAAGCACAAAAGAAGATATTTTGTGGACTATCTGGCTGTTCTTTCCCATAAAACAAAAATAAACAGCAAGTTCTAAAAATGACGGTCACACTTTATTTTAAGGTCCAATTCTCGCTATTAACAAACCATTGACTACAACCTTTCCCTCAATAAACTCCTAATTTGCTGCTTATTAATAGTTAGTCAGGTAGTTGTTAAGTTTAGGTATTGGGTAGGGTTAGGGATGTAGAATATGGTCATGTAGAATAAATACTTTATAAGTACTAGTATACAGCCAATATGTAAATAATAGGCATGCTAATAAGCAACTAGTTAATAGTGAAAATTGGTCCCTATACTAAAGTGTTACCAAAATGACCAAAAATCACCATACAGTAAATCAAAACTGCTGCTTTTTTTGTTCTTTGTGGACAAATGTTTGACAGCCCCTGGTCCCTAAATGCATTTGTAGTATAGCAAAAAGCAGTATGGGCTCCCTTTGTCTTTTGTTTTTTTAGGGTGAACTATCCATCTAGTGCCATTGCTGGGAGATGGAAGGCTGTTCACATTTGTGTGTGGTTAGCTTCGCTTTTTGAGTTGCTTTTGGAAAAAGACTTCATAGAAGTGGAAAGGTCTATATTTTAAAATCACAGGGACATTTGGAATAAACACAACCATCGGTAAGAGCAATGCACTATGGGAAATTTCCTTTCTGTCTCCTCCACACACACAAAAAGTAAATCAAAAGAGATTCCTGAAGGGAACATTTATCCCAGGTTTCATGGTTTAACTGCGAAACTCTTACCATTCCCTTTTCTCCGCTGGTGAGGTTTGTTTAACACAAAACATTTTGTCTTTCTCTTTGAATTCTGTTTTGATTTACCCACTAATTTTTCTTTTTCTATTGCGGTATATTTCTTACATCTTGACTTATTCATTCATTCCCATTACATTTTCACTTGAAAACGAGACTCCAAGACCATTATTTCTTTACCAAGTCTGAGAACAAGGCAGGTGCCACTTCATTGGTTCTGTTACTGCTGTGGTTTATCTACGTCAGAGCGGCTAAGCAGACTTCCTGTCCCTAGCCGGTAATGAAGCTCTGAACTGGGTCAGTTGTTTATGTCTGGAGCACCTGAGCTAGCCACAGTCGTTTGTTGAAGTAATCTGAAACCGGTAAGTCCAGGGAGTATTAAAACTTCTCACTACCTTGGAAAAAAGAGATAGAAGAAGAAAAAGAGAGAGGAGTTGGGGGAAAGTGAATTGAGGTCCATTTGAACAGCACAAGGAAACCATTGTTTTTAAATGTGAGCCTCTATCTTCTCTCGTCTGCCAAAAGTAACCTCTTCCTCCTCAGGATCACTATGAAGATAAGAAAAATGTCATAAAATGATTTAATGTACGCCAAAATTAAACATATAATACCCAAAGGTGCGTTTCTCTTGTGAAAAGCGTATCCAGGTTTCTCCCTCCACATTTGTATCCTGTTCAGCCCACCCCTGTGGACCCTTCCCCCCATGCCAGGGTTCTGTGGGCTTACCTGTCAGGGAGGCCCCTCTGTGCCTTTCCTGTCTCTGCAGATATGAAGCAGCATTATTAGTGCTTTTCAGAGCGTAACTATCCCAATACAGAGCAAAAGCCTGGAGTTAAATATATACTGCTGCTTGGCTTCAAATTCGATCTGTACAGAGAGATTCTGAAAAAAATGGCTGGTTTCTAACAAAGTGCACATAGTTTGTTGGTGGTCAGTTGTATATTGGGATATTGCATGATTATTCATGATGATTTTCATACCTAAAGTGGCCTCAAAATACAATATTTGCATTTGCATTGAATTTCATTGAATAGATAAAGAGTTATGTCTTAGTTATGTATAGTTATGAATAGATAGTCGTGTCTGCAACAACATCAACAAAAAAATGTTAACCGTAAGTTCTCTTTTCTACCCAAGTTCACACAGTTCTAGCAAAGTAACCACAGGTGTTGTTCATCAAATTACCTGTTAACTAACGTTAACCAGAACATGTCCAAATATGTTTTTGTTTTCATTTTGAACAGTATATGTATTGATTAACTGTAAAATTGGAAACCAAACAACTTTCTATACATGTTTTACTTGAAATATGTATTATTGTTTTTATAGTACTTTTCAAAAATTTAGGGGTTGTATAGAATTTTTCACATCTTACAAAAAGTCTTATATGCTTACCAAGCCTGCATTTTTTTAATGTAAATTATTTTTTATTATTTGAACATTTATTACTATTTTCAGTGTTGAAAATATTTCATGAATGAAAATCTGAAATATTTTTGTGGAAACTGTGATTTTTTTCCCCCAGAATTGTTTGATGATTTGTTTTCCGATTTAACCCCCAAAATTTGAACGATGATTCTCATACATTTTTCATATTTCTGTTCATACATTAATCTCTGTATGCAGGATCATCAAGTAACCTGGTTGCCCAGGACGCTGTAAGAAAACAGGCTACACTTCTGAAACCTGCTTCTAAAACAGGAGAACATATCTCAAGTAAGAACCAAACCTCTAATCTCCATTATCAACTCAAAATATGTTCCACTTAAGCGATGAAAAAGCCCTATAAAGACAAAAGCATCCATAAAACAGCATTGAAGGAACTTGTCCATCTGGAACCGTTATAAATTGTACCCAAGGCCCTTTGTTGCAAGACTTAATGATGTAACCGGCTTGTAACAGTAAACAGCCCACTTGTGTTGGCCATTTTGAGTTTGCATGCGCATTTCCTGGTTCTTTTAAACAGCACCTTTTCAGACTGATTCCTGATTAGCTTTTCAGCATGAACATTTCATTTATTCTTCATCAAAGTGCTAAGAGATCTATACCACAGAAAACTTTGTAAACAACACTATATTTAAAAAGAACTCGCCTTGGAAAGAACACTGTGAAAGCTTTTATTGATCAAAAATTGATTATGACTTGTCTTTGTCTTTGTCTATCTCTCAGACTGTCTGAATTGCAGTCGTATCACTGCCCTCACAGATCGTGTGAGCTCTCTGGAGGCCAAGGTAAAGTCACATCTTTCACTTTGAGCGTCTTTCATGGGGGAATTCACTAAGAATTCATTGCATCCATTAATAGCTTTGTTTATTTGTACCTCAGTGTTTTATGATGCTCTGTCCTCATCACTCCAGTACTCCTTTATCACTCAAACAATCCCCATTTAACACAGTTTAATCAATTACTCTTTGTGCCTTCTCTGTCTCTCTGCCTTCCTGGTGCTCTTTCTCCCAGGTTCAGCTTCTTACCGCTCCGGCCTCCACCTCTCATCGACAGACGCAGTTAAAAAATGAACCTGACTCCTCCTTGTTGATGGGGGCTCCACCTGCCAAAGGTTCTCCTGGGGCTCAGGGTCCCGCAGGTATGTTTATCACTTTGTGTTACAGAATAAAGAGCAGTTTTAGTAGTGGTGTTTGTTCTGTACCGTTGATTTAAATGGACCGAAGATTGATGTCCATTGGACAAAAGGCCACTGTTCCTGTCCTTCAGTGCCAAAGTCAATGGTTCAAAGCCATGCATTTGGCCTTGGCTAAAATCACATCATTTTGTGGTGTATTCATAATAGCAGTTTAGCACCGGATTCATATGGAGAAAACTTTATTAGCCAATAAGCATGTGGAGATAATCCCATTCCCTATAACAATAATGATAATCCCAGAACCCACCCACATTTTCATTTATCTCCCACTACAGTTGTTGGGGATTTCACTGTGGAGAGATTAGAGTAGATTTAAGTTGTGTGTGTGTGTTGGACGATGTGAGCACTGACGGTTGTGGGTGTTTTTTGGGAGATTGCCATGGTGCATGTGGCTTTGAATTGCACCAATTCATTGCCAGTTGCCATAGAGATGTAGAACTGAGACATTAAAGAGGCTTGTGGGGATTTGAAGGGGCTAATTGTATAGTAAAAACTGTAGGACTGCACTTGACACGGTGTCACAGATGTCATTTCCACCAGCCAAATTGTAACCGCAGACTTTTCAAGCAGCCTTTGTTCTGGAAATATTTCCCTATTCAGTTTCTCTAAGTGTTTCACAAAAAAAAAAAAAAAAAATTGAAGATAAGAACTTCCAAATAGGATAAGCTCCTTCCTAAAATATAAATCCTCTATACTTCAAAGTCACATTTTCCTTCAGAAATCATTTCTTTTTATCATCAATCTTGAAAATCGTGCTGCTTAATATTTTTATGGAAATCAACCATGTAAATTTTTTTCATGGTTCTTTGATGAATAGAAAAATCAAAAGAACCGCATTTATTTGAAATCTTTTGTAACATTAGAAGTCTTTACTGACACTTTTGATCAATTTAATGTGACATTGCTGATTAAATATATACATTTATTTCTTTATATATTTATATATTTTCAATATACATATATATTGTATTTAAAGACCCATTTACCAGGTGAAAAAGTGTGACATTATGCTAAGTTAAATAATTGGCTTTTATATTGATATTGTACTGAAACCAAAGCAAATTGTTAAAATATTTTCTGGAAAATGTTGACTTTGTATTTTTACTACCCACACTCAGAGTAATGGTAGATGTATAAAAGACCTGAAGTGAAAGTCTTATAATTCAATACTATTAGAATAGAAAAACAGACACACATTGTGTTTATCACTGCCTTCTGTTTCTGTGTACACTATTTTCTCATTTATTTCTTTATATATTTATATATTTTCAATATACATATATATTGTATTTAAAGACCCATTTACCAGGTGAAAAAGTGTGACATTATGCTAAGTTAAATAATTGGCTTTTATATTGATATTGTACTGAAGCCAAAGCAAATTGTTAAAATATTTTCTGGAAAATGTTGACTAAATGTTGACTTTGTATTTTTACTACCCACACTCAGAGTAATGGTAGATGTATAAAAGACCTGAAGTGAAAGTCTTATAATTCAATACTATTAGAATAGAAAAACAGACACACATTGTGTTTATCATTCTGCCTTCTGTTTCTGTGTACACTATTTTCTGTTGAAAATTAATAAAAAAAATAAATAAATAAAATTTAAAAAAAAGAATAGAAAAACAAATAGCAGCAAAAATGTGTAGCACCGCATGGAAGTGAGCTGTCACTGCTGTGCTCTTTTGTTGGTTCTCTAGTTTCCACATTAACCCTTCTCTGATTGGTGCATCTCTCTTTAGGATCATTCATAGTGTAGTTCTCCGATTTGAGGCCTCTTATTTCTCCATCTGAAGGCATCAAATCATACTTTGTGAAAATGATGAATCATCTCTCATCGTCAGTTTGTGTGTGTCAGCACTATATGCATCCTTCATGCAGCAAGACATCCTTTTTAATGGTTAATACCTAAATCCTTAATTCCCCTTACCCACTCCACAGGTATCCCTCGCTGTCAATGCTCAATCCTATCATCACTTGGAGTGTGGAAGAGATTAAAAGGCGGGTCCAGAGATTTCAGAAATGACTAGCCAGACTGTTAAGTAAAATCCTGAGTGCCTTCACTCATCCAGTGTCCCTCCTCCCTGTGCTGACTTGGCAGAACTATTTAACAAATCATTGCAATTCAGTTCCTTCCACACAGAACACTGAATAGATCTGCTGCCCAGAGGTTCTCCACCTCAGTGCAAAGTCAATCCTCTATCCATTAGAAATACCACATCCATGGAGGGTTGTGGTGGAAGGATGAGGCACAAATTACCCTTGAGGGGATTATTTCCATGTGCTGGTTACACAGATGGAGAACGTGAAAGCGAATCTGGTGCTTTCGTGGGAGGAACGAGCATTTGTGTGGAGCTCTTAAACTATGTGTGATGCTGTGCATGGCTCACTATAATGCACGATTATTGTTTTAGTCTGATTGGAATAGAAAAAGTGGATGCAAATTAGACATACACAGGTATTGGGTAATGGAGTACATTGCGGTAATGAGCATGCACGCTATTGATATCTACAGCATTTCAAAATACTTAGTGAATAGTTCTAGGCACCTTATTATCCAAATTGATTCAATTTTTAAAATGCACAGTAGTTTTTTTTTTTCATCAACATGATGCAGAACAGGATGACTGAAATTCAAGTTCACTCTCTGACAGTAGGTGACATTTAATGGAAATTTTTCAAACAGTCATTCAGGATTTTTTTATTCACTATGGTGTTTATCAAACACCAAATACTTCATATTTATTTTCAAACATTTGTGTACACTTTACACTATATTTTACATTATAATCTGAACTAACACATGCCAGCCCAGAAAAAAATCTAGATATTATTATTCAGATTTTTTATTATTATTTTTAATTGTGTTCTTTTGCATTTTAATTTGTTTAATCCATTTATTTATTTATACATTTGTATTTTATTGTATTTAAATGTTCAAGATTATTATTTTTGTTATTTGAAAAGTAGTACATTTTCTATTAAGAGGACAGCAGTGAAGTTAGTTTATCTTTTAACCTGCTTTTGTAATGTAAGTAAATGCCATGGTAATATATCACATATATAATGTAAATCATACATTATCAATTATCATGATAAAAATGTAATCAATTATTGCGATAGGAACATTTATTGCGATAAGAAAATTGATATACTATGTATACCCTAGTAAAAAAGTAATATATTTAAAATTTATTTATTTAATACTAAGTATAATTCAAATCTATTAACATGTTTACTGACATATCGCTCCAGACTTACTGATATAAAAATTTAAATTAAACTTTATATGTAGTACTACTTGTGCACAATGCACATTTCTTAATAATAAGCCTAAAATGTGTTTTAATGCCACTATTGATGAGGATTGTATGATCTTTGAATAATATCGGTCTTTAAATGCAAGATATTAAAAGTGTACCTGAAATATACTTGCAATAGTTCCACTTTAGCACAATCAAATCTTTCGTTGGAGTTCAGCACTACTTCCGCACTATTAAAGTGCATTAAGCACAAAATTAGTTGTTCCAATTTAGCAGACTTTAAGTATACCAGTTTAGTATTTATTTATTTATACATTTGTATTTTATTGTATTTAAATGTTCAAGATTATTATTTTTGTTATTTGAAAAGTAGTACATTTTCTATTAAGAGGACAGCAGTGAAGTTAGTTTATCTTTTAACCTGCTTTTGTAATGTAAGTAAATGCCATGGTAATATATCACATATATAATGTAAATCATACATTATCAATTATTATGATAAAAATGTAATCAATTATTGCGATAGGAACATTTATTGCGATAAGAAAATTGATATACTATGTATACCCTAGTAAAAAAGTAATATATTTAAAATTTATTTATTTAATACTAAGTATAATTCAAATCTATTAACATGTTTACTGACATATCGCTCCAGACTTACTGATATAAAAATTTTAATTAAACTTTATATGTAGTACTACTTGTGCACAATGCACATTTCTTAATAATAAGCCTAAAATGTGTTTTAATGCCACTATTGATGAGGATTGTATGATCTTTGAATAATATCGGTCTTTAAATGCAAGATATTAAAAGTGTACCTGAAATATACTTGCAATAGTTCCACTTTAGCACAATCAAATCTTTCGTTGGAGTTCGGCACTACTTCCGCACTATTAAAGTGCATTAAGCACAAAATTAGTTGTTCCAATTTAGCAGACTTTAAGTATACCAGTTTAGTATAACAAAAGTACAATTGCAGGGCATTTTTATTAAATACATAAAAATGTATTTATACTTAGCATGAAATAAATGTATTTCAAATACATTTTTATTTTTTTATTTTTTTACTAGGTTATACTATATACAATAAAAAACAACTATAAGATGTGTGGTCTTTGCAATGTTTTATATCTTTTATTTCATCTCATTCAATTTATACTGCAAACCCACAACTTAAAAAATATAAATAAATATATAAACACAAAAATGTAATTTCTTTTACAGTGGCGCTGTAGATTTATCAGTAGTGCATTGCCAGAACAGTGTTTTAGACAACCAGTTTCCAGTGAAAATGAAGATACAGCGGTCCCTGCCTGGTTTCCCACTGATTTGTTCCTGGCTCTTAGCTCGTCCAGCTTGTTTTCAAGTGAGCAGACATTGGCAAGCAGGATGCTTGGCGCAGGGCGTTAGTTTGATCAAGACATTAGCTGAGCATGAAGCCGTACCCCAAAAACTCTTCTGCAGCTCAGTCGGGAGTCCAGGGAAGCTGAATGTTAATCTGTGTTGGACTTCTTCCATGTCGAGTAAGGTTTGTCTATCACAAGATATCCCAAATGAGAAAGGCAAGAAGACTGTTCAAATTACAGTATCCTTTTTCTCCTTGTGTGGTTGCTGATATAGATCTAAACTACAAAGTCTTTGTGGCCCTCTTCAGGTAATCCTCAAAGGGGGCCATTTTTCGTAACACAACAGGGTTGTTGAATTTGCGTTACTCATTCACAATGTTCCTGCAACATAAACTGTGTGGATGTGTTTATGGCCAGATGCTTGGTGGGAGAGAAACATGAGGAGATTTTATTTTATCATAAAGTCTTTCAGGTGGAGAATAACATGAGTGATTGTGTAAATATATATCGATGTATCAGTTCATAAATTATTCCTTCAGGGAATCCTGCCTCTGCAGTGATGTCACAGTTGATGATCTCACATGATGAGCTCAGTCAGTGTTATTTAGACTGTGTCTGCCAAGAGGCACTTCACTGATCCACTGATTTTTATCAGGCTGTGGGACGGTTCCAATGGCAGGCCTGGAAGATACTTTATGGAAGATTGACTTTTTTACAGACTAGAGTAGAGAGCACTTTAAGATCTGAAGAATCCTTATACTTCCTGTACAACGGTAAATTTACGTGTGTTTGTCCCAGGTCCACAGGGCGAGAGAGGCCGGGATGGCTTACCCGGTAAAGAAGGTAAGTTGCAATCTAAAATACACACATTCACACTTCTGCACTAAACTAATTTCACAAATTTTACTGCCAAAATATATACTGCCAAAATATCTCTTTAAACAGTTACAATATTTTCAAAATCTTATTTTGTGTTCTGCAGAAGTATGGTTTGAAACGAAATGAGGGTGAATAAATCACGGCAAAATTTACATTCTCACTCTGAGAGGGGAAAAAGAAGAGCACTAATTTGTACATTACATATGTTCTCTGTCTCTGTAGGTAAACCAGGGTCTCGAGGTCTGCCAGGACCCAAAGGTGATGCGGGCAGCAGAGGTCCATCTGGGGCTCCAGGGTCTAAAGGAACAGCTGGTCCTCCAGGTACTTTGAACAAATCAAGCCCACCACACTATCGCAAGATTCTGAGCTCTAAATCACTCTGTGACTCAAGACAAACGTCGTGGCAGACTAGCTATGTCCTCTTAACACATCTCATGTTGCTGAGCACTTAAAGGACTAATTCACCCAAAAACGAGAATTTACTGAAAATTCACTCACCCTTAGGCCCTCCAAGCTGTAGATGAGTGTTTCCTCATCGAAACATATTTGGAGAAATTTAGCAATGCATCACTTGCTCACAAATGGAACCTCTGCAGTGAATGGGTGCCGTCAGAATGAGAGTTCAAACAGCTGATGAAAAACATTACAGTAATCCGCATGACTCCAGTTCATCAATTAACATCTTGTGAAGTGAAAAGCTGCATGTTTATAAGAAACAAAACCACCATTAAACTGACAAAAACATCATTAAAACCAACTTCAAACTGTTGTTTCCAGCTAAAATATGAGCCCCTATCCATTATATTTCTTTATCCAGTGGAAAAGTAATCTGAATCAGGAAATAATTATGCACAGATAAAGCACCAATAACAAGTATGTACAAAACTGTTGTAAACAAATTATGTCAGTGGATTTTGATGTGAGAGGTAGAACATGGGAAGAACACTGGACTTTTTTTTCACTGGAGGAAGCGTTATTATCAATTACCAGCAGTTATTTTTGCTAGAAGTGATGGTTAAAGTTAAAATGCCTTGATGATGTATTTGTTAATTACAAACATGCAGCTTTTCACTTCACAAGACATTAATTGATGGACTGGAGTCACATGGATTACTTCTGGATTATAGTGATGTTTTCATCAGCTGTTTAGACTCCCATTCTGACGGCACCCATTCACTGCAGAGGATGCAAGTGATGTAATGCTAAATTTCTCCCAATCTGTTTCGATGAAGAAACAAACTCATCTACATCTTGGATGGCCTGAGGGTGGGTACATTTTCTGCAAATTTTAACTTTTGGGTGAACTATTCATTTTTGCTTTCATCTTTGTCTTAGACTCCCAAAAGTTGTCTTCATACATCAGTTTACATAATTGTATCCTCTAACAACAGAGCACTGTTTTCTTGTGGAGGGCTGACCTGTGACTTTTGACCTGTGAATTTAGTTATAATATCTGAAACATGGCCACAGGTATGAAGGGTCTTTTACCAGAGCCATGACTGACTGACAGGGGCTTCAAATGACCTTAGGTCTTTACCCAGGCTCCTCAGCCATATGAATCCAATCTAAATTGAACATGAAATATGTATACAATACTTGCTTCTTATTTCTTCCATATGTTTGCCATTGTATTGTTTTTCTTGGATTTGCCTTTTTCTTTACGCCTTCATGTCATGCACAATGAACTGTATCTGATTGCTGTATTCTCTCCAGATAGGTATGTTTACATAAAGCAAAGTAGATCTATAGGAAAACGACGTCATGGTATATAGGTAGCTGACACGGAGTGTTACAAGCTGTACTTCATCTAAAGCTTTTTGAAATTCTATAATTATTTTATATGCAGTTTTACGACTTTATATTAACTGAGGGATTGCATAGACATTTGTATGTTTAATTATTTGTACTTATAAAATTTCATTTATCACACTGCAGGACTATTAAAATGAGCTAGTTAAGCTAAAAAGTGATTCTAAAAATGATTTAAATGATATAAATCAAATAAATGACATATAAATTGTACATTCATATCAATTTAACCTAAAATCTTGAGGAAATGGGAGCAATCCCAACAGAGCAATATTATTGGTGGTACAATGATACAGTGCTAGTATGAGAAAGATAATTACTGAATACCATATTCATAGACATTCATTAAATTGTATTTACGTGAAAGAGCAAAATGCATTTTAATCATGATAAATGATTTTTTGTTTTTTTAAAAATGCATAAACATGACAATGCCATACTTATTTGTAAGTGAAGGATGGTATGGGCAAATTCAGTGATCAGATTCTTTTGTGTCTGAGTCAGTAGAAAACCGGTCCATGCACTTCCTGTTAAAGGGAAACAGGACATCCTCTTTACAATGATGCTCTTATACAGACACACAATGAACTGTTATTCACTCAATTAGCATTCCATAAAGCAGCAGACTCCACATGACTTGTGCTGTGACACTTCTCTAAGAATTAATTTTGTCCATTGGTAAGGCTGTTTATTTACACATGCTGTTGGCATTGTTTCAGTGACCAATTCTCTGTAGGCATTATGCAAATCAAGCAACAGAGATAATAATAAGTCCAATTTACATAGAAAGGAGGTATGTTTGTCTCATGGAATAGCCCTACTTCAGTACATTTAGCACCTGTTTAAGCTGGATTGTGGGTGGTTAGTGAATAATAAGAAACCGGTTTTTACACTGCAAGAGTGACACAGTTGTTTAGTGAATTTGGCCCTCGGAAAATGAAAACTGGAAACTCATATTAAAGGAATTTTATCCTACTTCTCATCTATCCTCTTTTCCAAATAACTTTCGTAAACATTTTGTCAAACACCTAAAGGAGAGACTGATGAGAAATTGGGTGATAAGTACCCAGGGATGTCAGAAGAGAGGAAAAAGAAAAGAAGGGACAGGAACAGAGAAAAAAACACAGACAGGCAGATGAAACTCTTGTTCTGTTTGTTTTGCAATCACACTCCCACACCATGACGTAGCTTTTCTTTCCTTCATTTTGTTCCCGCTTAATCAAAACTAACAGGCAACAAGGAACCAGCTGGAGGGATCTTATGTAGATGCACATGTTCTCACACACACACACACACACACACACACACACACACACATCCAGACAGAGAGCTGTATGAATCAATCAGCGCAGTCACTGGCCAGCTTTTAATATATTACACACCAGAGTCGCTAATATGCTCCGGCATTTAGCAGTGTTTATTTGAGTTTTCCCAGCTCTCCATGTTCGAGCCCAGCACATGGCCATTATGAACCCCCTCCTGTTAATTACAGCCCACACACACAGTAACACACAAATACACACCACTCTCCTGCCCCTCTTATTAACCTGTTTCCTAGAACAGCCATGTATCGAAACCAAATACCTCATTCCACCTCAATCTGCGCTCTCTCTTACTTTCTCTCCTTCTCTTTAGGATGTTAAACATCCCGTAACTTCCTTGGAATCCTTTTATCATATACTGTAGCTGCTCAACATAGTGTGCAAAAAACACTCTATACGTTCTCCTGTTTCCTGTTAGCTTTCTGTTGAATAGGACAAGAGTGCCTTATAATTGACTACTCGGGGGAAAGATAGCTTGAAAGGTAGCACTTTGTGGTTTTTTTTTAGTTGAGCTTTCTCATACTTTTTTTTTTGCTTTCTCCTCAGGTCCTCAGGGACCACCGGGCCTCCCAGGAGAGAGGGGCCTCCCTGGGCCACCCGGACCACCAGCCCCTGTACCTGAACAAGATGGTATGATTACTAATCATTTAAGGAGCTTAAATTATAATGTACAATCATCCAGTCATTATCACAAAATAAAAACCAGAACCCAGGGTGATAAAGTCTTGTATCATCCTAAAGGGGTTTATTTTGCAATATTGACTGACTGATTGTGCTTTTCTACACTTACTACACCAACGTTCAAAGGTTTGGGGTCAGAAAGATGTTTATTTTATTTATTTTTAAAGAAATTAATACTTTTATGCGGCAAGAATGCATTAAATTGATAAGAAGTGGCCATAAATCCATTTATAATATTACAAAAAATGCGGTTCTCTTCATCAAAGAGGCCTGAAAAAATGTAGCATCTCAACTGTTTTCTACATTGATTTTTTGACCAAATAAATGCAGCTTTGGTGAGCATAAGAGACTTCTTACACCCATGAAAAAATCGTTCCGACACAAGTTTGAGCAGTATACAAACGTTTGAGTTCGGTAAGATTTATTAATTTTTCATTCTTTATTGTTTATTGTTTGTGTTCTACTCTTCTTGTATTGTTCTATAATCATCTTCGTCTTCCTTGGACTATATGTGATAATCCTATTTTCGTGGCTGCTTATCAAATAACAAAATAAATGGACATGAAACGTTGCTTTAAATTGAAATTATTTTGTTATGTAAAAAGAAACAGACCACGGTGCATGTGATAGAAGAAATGTAGGAAATCATTTCTCTGTAAAGGCAGTCAGTTATAGAGTTTTGTGGTCATTATACAACAATATTTAACCACAGAATGCCACAATTGACCAATCAGAATCAAGTATCCTGGCGAGCTGTTACATTTGCCCGCTTTGCTGTTTTTGGACCCCGTTCTCACTTGCTCTCTCTGTCTGCCTGGCTTCAGGAACTGTGTATGCTGCACTCTCCCATGTGGATTTTTCACACCTTTAGAATCGAGTTGTGAGGGAAATTGCTGTAGTGCAGAACCAGATGGATGCATGTGGACACACACACACACACACACACACACACACACACGTTGTAGTCAGTTGCTTTCAATATGGAATAGGTTCATCTGTGAGTGCAGTGCAGGCCAGTTCTGCAAGTCTACACCTCATTAGTAGCCAGTCATGGGACGGTCAGTTCAAATTCATCTACGTTTTACACTGATACTTCCTGATTGTGCAATGGGAAGCTTCAAATGAGTCCCAAATTAATGTCAATAGAAAAAGAGGAATGGATTAAGGAATTAGTCTAACTTAGGGGCATCTCTTCTCTCATTCCCCGCCGTTGATTAAAATGGCAGGTTTCAGGAGGTAACTCAGGCTAGACTCAATAGTCACATGCTGGGAAAAAGGCCTGTCTGTCTGCTGCTGATGTCACTCAACCACTTCCAGATGTGCACAGCCAAAACAGCAGGGTAGAGCAGGAGAAGTGTGTGTATGTGTGCTGTCTTGAGACTTACACTCAGTTAAACTATAAGCGCGAGGGAGTGTTTTAGAATAGAAGCAATAATATTTTAGTGTGTGTGTCGTCACTCTCGAAGAGTACTGATCTGTGTAGAGGACTGACTCTTCACCTCAGCTCAGTTTTATATCTGCTCTCTGTTGAAGGGGACACAGGCCAGACCTCATAAAGTTTGAGAATTTTAAATTTAGGGGCCTTAGAACTTTATAACACAGTTAAGGCTGTTATTCCCATGATCCTACCTTCAAAGTAATCAGGACAATTAAAGGGTCTGCAAGGGGCTTCCATAGACAAACACTGTCTTTATTGGAGTTTCCTGTCTGGGTCTGAGCTCAGGGATGACCTGCAGCCATTGAGACTACAGCAGCAAACTCACCTGCTGGGAGGAGACAGACGGACAGACAGACAGAGAGGGAGATGGGAATCTGCCATTGTAATTTCAAAGCCTTTCCTCTGTGAGAACATTGCCAGCAGTTACAAAACCAATCAGAGGAGACCAGACAACACATCTATTATGTCTACTGTGAGTAGAGTAGCAACAGTAAATTTCAGAGTACTTTAATGGCATGATTGTGATACAGTACATACAGTATTTCCAAAGCACCAATGCACACGACAAAAGCAGTGACAAAAAATAAGAGAAAATGTATTATTACAAACATAAGGTGCCAGTAAAATATATAAACAAATAGGAATTCAGCAATAAAAAAGAGACAAACATTTTTGGCATGTTTCTATAGTATGTTTTTATTGGTTAATATTATAAATGTATAAAATATATGCTTTGATTTTCAGGATTTCAGGGTAAAAAAGGGGAAAATTACAGACCACACAAGAGAAAGGGACAAAGAAAACCATTAGGCTGTGATACAAAAGAAAACCGCTGGCTTGTATTTTTATGTCCTTTTTGTGATTTAATTCACTTTTCGTGACAGAAAATAAAAAGCCAGCACATCAAAATGCCACAACCACTGTTATAATTTATGGTGTGCTAATATTTTACAACCTGCTACAAATGATTCACTGTTTATTCTTGTCTAAACAGCACCGTCTACAGGCAAGTAGCCATAATGACACTTTGCTTAAGATCCTGGACATCAATTTTTATTTTTCGTTACAGGCCTGAAAAAAGACAGTCTGCTTCATAACAACTTCCCCGACCTCCGAGTGACCCCTTCAAATGGACCACCAGGTCCGCCTGGACCCACCGGTCAGTGAATCAGAATTATTCTCTTCTTGTTTGTTTTTATGTTTATTTGCTAGCTTTTTACAGTATTTTTCACTATTGGACATTTATACCATGGATAATTACTCAATTTAAACTAAGCTTTTGAAAGCCTGATTTGAAAACAAAGAATAAAAATCTGATGAATTTATGCCACATGCTCACTGAATGTTATATGTGATTATATGAAGGTAATTTAAGACATTTAAGTAATTTTATTGATACAAATATTTACTAAAAATTCAGTTGAATTTATATTAAATCGGCATAGTATGTACAGAACCTTAGTGAATCTGCCTTAATTTCATCGTGCAGTTTTTTTCCCCTGTTAATGTTTCAACTTGAATTAAAATTTCAGCCATTAGTTCTTGTGCTACTTTTCCACACACTGCAAATGGGATATTGAAACATCACACAGCAAAAATGCCACTAAACTCAAAGTTACCTCATTATTTGTGGCCTGTCTTCAATTACTTTGCAGTGCGATTATTACAATGAATTTTACTCTAGATAAAATATGATATATATAAAATATTTGTGTGTGATGAGATTTTAATGTTTTATTCTGGCTCTGGACACAAACCCAGTCTCCTTTTTCTTCTTTGAAGTGATTTTTTTCTTTAGAACTGCCATCTCTTTAATGCAGAAAAGCATTCTAAAAGCTTTAGCGCAAGCAACCATCTTTAACATGAATACCACTATTTGCATGGCATCTCAGCAGGTATGAAAACAATGAGCCATTCTCCGATACGTCACTAAATTTCAGCTTTTGCAGCTCAACGTCAGACTTTTGTTTTGTCTGAATTAATTATCAATTTTATCATAGACATTTCAAAGACAAAGCCTTTAATTGTTAAATAATGCTTGCTGGTTGATACATTTCACCTCGAAGTTCCTGTATAATTTCAGACCATTATATATCCATAACTTCTTTATTGAGTTACTTTTAATTATCAGCTGTTTTATGTTAAAAGATGGTTTCCCATAGCAGCATCCATCAGGTATATTTAAACTCAAATGTGATATTTGAATTGTAGGAACTTGTTTCAGCAGGTTAACAAATGAAAGTAAGCCTGAAACAGTTTGATTTGGTCCAAATGGACAGTTTTAATCATTATTCTATCATTTGAGTATCACGCTGGACATCATAATGTTTTCCATATGTTGTTTCGAGCTGCATCATGAAACAGTCGGTGCAATGCCATAACGTCAGATCATGAAGGGTTTATTCAGATGTGTCTTTTGCAGGTTCTCCAGGACCGATAGGACCCAGTGGACCACCAGGCCCTATGGGACAAACTGTAAGTTAAAGACTATTTCTTATGTGAGCGTGTGAATATGTGTGTGTACTAATCACATCATCTTTTTTGCATGTATTCAGGGAAAGCCAGGAGCTCCTGGTTTGCAAGGCCCTGTGGGGCCAAAAGGCGAACGAGGCGAAAGAGTGAGTGCACAAGCATAAACCTACCCAGAGTGCAACACTGCCTGAACATACTGTGCAGTTCTCACCCTTAATTTACCTCCACAGGGACCTCTTGGATATCCAGGAGAGAGAGGGTTCAAAGGAGAGCCGGTAAGTCTCCTGAAACCGTACAGTAACTTTGTATAAGAAATAGATCATTACTGACACTTTTTCTTCCTAGGGAGCACCAGGACCTAAAGGAGAGCCAGGGGAGAAAGGTCTTCCGGTAAGACAAGCCCAACAGGAGTCCTGTTAGTTGCACATTCACTCCCTTTGCACGAGAGAGCGTGGGAGAGAAATGATCAGACCCTGAGCACACGAGTGCAGGGAAAATGTTTAAATGCATTGATTTTAATGCAGCAACAATCTCTTTCCTTATACCTGCTTATCGTTGTTGTTCTAGAGCGAATTGAACGTAAGAGATTTTGACATTTGCCATGATGTTTTTGTTGTTCTTGGTTTTAGGTTTTCATTGCTCATCCTTCCAACCATCTGTGTTTTAACATCAACAATCACGTTAAATCCATCAGTGGCGTTTTCATCTTGATAAATGGGTGCAGACTGATTTTCATATTTTCAATTTGTGAAAAATATAAGCCAAATTAAAGAACGAATGAAAATTCCACTGAAAGGATTTGCTCCACAAACGCTGTTCATTGCTTACTTACAGTACTCACTGTTAGCACATTATATGTCTTGGTTTTGTGTGCACTGGTATTGTTTCCATATGTTTTTGAACAAGAGGTTGCACTTTATGGCTGATCTGTGACCGGTTTTTGGCGTCTCACTGTCTAAAGGGCAGTTCTGAACTAGTCTCATGTTAGCATACAAGGGCATAATCTATTCAGAGTGTGCAGTGATGTTGTTAATGTTGTTGATTTTGATTGGTTGGTGGTTGGGGCTGTCTCTGAGTGTTTCCCCTGTCCTCGAAAGCTGATTCCTTTTCGTTACTGTCTCCATGGCTGCCTTTCACAGCCACCAGTCTCTTAGCTACCAACTCTGGCATATACCCAACACACAGAGAAGTTAAATCTTTGCTTTGTCATGCTGTTACGGCAAAGAAGAAACGTTGTACTATTGATATAACCTTTGTGTGTACACCATTGTAAATTGATTAATCTGGGTATTCCAGCAACCAAACCGCTGGGTCAAAACCGTAGGGGGGCAGAAATAAGAACAAACATCTTTGCAAGACGCTGTGCGGTGTGTGTTGTGTATATGCTGCATTTTAGCATTTGCAGGGATTTGGTGTGTGGATGGACGTGTGGATGGATACAGCTATCCCTCAGTGTCCCACAGTGCATTGCTGCATGATCCCATCTCATTGTGGTGCTTGTGATCTTCCTTTTGCCTCCTCAACTTACATCTAACCATTCAATTTTGAGTTCCGTAGCGCTGAGCGATTACTAGTCAAACAAATGTTCTGTTTAATTGCATTACGTTATCATACTCGATCTATTGTGAAAGGCTTGAAAAGCCTCTTAGTTCATAGCAAATTGATGTATGGTTTTCTGCATGGCCTGCCGAACCCAGAAGATTTGTGTTATTAATCATAAGACACAGATAATTTCATTAAATCCTATAGGTGTAGCTTCTCTGCTGTATGTAGACTCCTTAGAGATGTATATATAACATGTATAAAGACCATACAATTATTTGAAGATTAATCTCTTCACATTTATCAACGTGAGGCCAAGCACTCATATAATACAGTGGAGAAAGATTCTGGACCATAGCCATACTTGCATCCCTTAATGAATATGGTATTTGTTTGGGAAGAAATTATATTATATATTGTTTGCTGTTTTATTTGGCTAGATGAACTACCTCATGCTCTCACAGGCACTAACTTTTACATAAGCCTTACATACATAACTCTTTCCTGAGTTCATCAATAATACCGTTTTTCTAACGTGTGCTTGAGCTTGGGACTGTTGTGTAGAATGTATGTTATGTGACTAGTTTCTTTACACTGTTCAAGAAATGCCTACCAAAGCCACACAAGCAAGTATTTCAGCAGATTGTTTTGTAAAAGGGCACAAAGGTTTTCCGTTAGATTTGTTTTTGATGTCCACATATACTGATTCTTTGTAGGGCTGGGTAAAAATATTGATTTTCCTATTAATATTTCAGTAATGTAATTACGATGGAAGGTTGTCTGTCAGTCTTTCCTGCACTGCTTTTCAACAATACTCAGCACCATGACAAAAGCAGTCAGAGTATTTTACCACTTAAGTATGATTAAAGAACAAATGACTTTTATGCGCTGAATACTTTGTGAATCAAAAATGTACCGCATATCTCACGAACCAATTCTTTTTAATGAATCACAAACATACAACTCGATCAGTGTAGTCTGATTTACAGACAAATGACTCCTATGAGCCGGTTCTTTATAATTAATCAAAAACGTGCATGGTGATCAGTTTATCCCCGTTGCTGAAAGGAATGACTCATTTGAGCCGGTTCTTTTCATAAATAGTTCAAAAAGACATGTTACTAGTTTGAATCATGAGAGAGAATTTCTTGAATGCAGATTGAGTGAAATATCAAACCAAGAGTTTGAGAATCAGATTTGAACTGAACCGGGAAATCTTTATTGATACCCAACTAAAATTCCATGAATTTATAATCCCATTTATAATCCCAAAAAAACAGCATATGATGGTTAGGAATGTTTTGAGCATGGCAGCTGGTCCTGAGCTGGTTATAAGCTGGTTATGAACTGGTCCTGAGCAGGAGCTAGTTGCTTAGAACCAGTTTAGAACCAGCACATGACCAGCTTAAACCAGCTCAGGACCAGTTTAAACCAGCTCATGACCAATTAAGGGCAAGCTTAAACCAGCTCAGGACAAGCTTAAACCAGCTGCCATGCTTCAAAACATACATAACCAGCATATGCTTTTTTTTTCTTTCAACAGGGATAGTCAGAATTCATCAGGCATTTAATATGTATCGTATGAAAATGATTAACTGGCTCTGATTGGACACCAGTATTTGATAGACATGTCTTCAATTTGAGCTAATTATGGTGGCTTTGGTGTAAGAGCATCTTTTACCTTGAGATGAGCAGACTAAAGACTAAAGAAATGTGTACATAGTCAACTAAGTACAAGTATTGTCCTGATGACTCTAACATCTCTTTAGTTTAAAGGAAGCTGCTCACCTCTTGGTCTTTCAGTAACATAGTCTTGAGTGTACTGGGAATGTTAAATGCATGTTTAAATCTAAAATGATTGAACATTTGGTCTTGATTTGCTCTAAGGAGCCTTTGGCCTGGACTCAGAAAAAATGCATGCTCTTTAGTCAAGACTTACGGCATGGCCACATTAGAAAAGAATGAGAAAAGACAGGCAGAGCTAAATCTGATGTGTAGTTAACTGGAGTTCTGTAGTGAATGGAGCTGAGAACTTAACCTGCTAACTACGGTAATGGATTGAGATTAATGTAATTGATTAACAGAATGACTATGCATCTTGGCGAGCGCTTTTGTTTGGCTTGTGCCCAATACCTTGACGGCTGTATCTATCTCCACAGGGGGATGGGATACACCAAATCCGCGAGGCCCTGAAGATCTTAGCCGAGAGGGTTTTAATCCTCGAGACTATGATCGGTATCCATGGTGAGTAGGAGGTCAGAAGTAGATTTAGGTCCATTTTAAAGGACTTAGGACCAGGGGTCAGAGATTTCAGTGCATCTTTTACCCCACAACATCTTTGGAAAGCCAGTGAAGAGCAAAGTGTGGCGGAGGACAGGGGCCAAGTACTCAACCTGCCATCCACAAGCCCAACCCCCCACCATGCTTGTCAAAAACTCTTGATCTTTGATAGGACTTTAATTTGAAGAAGTTCCAAGACTTGCAGGCTGACTTAGAGCTGCTGGCTCGCAGGGTGCAGCTGCTGGAGGCGATCATCTGGCCAGGTAATGCCCGCCTTCCCTCGTCTAGCGAGTCAATCTACTGCCATCTCCTGACCAGTTAGAAGATCAGCACACAGGAAGGATTATATGAATCCAAAAAAAGACTCCATCCAGGGCCAGACTCCGGCAGTGTTTCCCAGTTACTACCTCTCATAAAGTTGATATGCAACCACTAGGTATTTAGTAGATGCTTTCCCATCCATAGTGACTTACAGTAGGCTACATTTACTATGGAGATAAAGCTGCTGCAACAACCCGGTTTCAGTGCCTCCCTCAAGCATGCAGTGTGATGATGGGAACCGCAGTAAATCACCCCAGTAATTCATGAATCACCCCTTCTGAAGTTAGAAACCAACATCCCTTGAATTACGAGTAAATATTTTACCCACTTCTTCCTGTGATTGGAGACCCAGCATTACCCACCAAAACACAGCCATACCACAGGGCTCCAGACTCAGAAATCACTAGGTTGAAATTAGCTACTAAAAGACAGCACTTAGGAGCCAAATGAATTCTTATTTGTCAAATTTCGGAATTGCTTGATAAAGACGCTTGCTCAGACGTTGTATAAACCAGGGTGTTCTAGTGATCATGATTGTATTTGTGCCATATATTAATGCATTTTGTAAGAATGTTTATTCCTGTTCGGGAAAAATAAAATATTATGTTGATTGTCTTACATTCCCATACAGAGTTTACCATACAGTTGATTAAAACTTTTAAATGCACCTAATATTTAAAAAATAATAATAATTTGTAGAGTATAATTTATTAATTTATATTAACAATAAGAAGTATTTAGTTTTTATCAAGGTTTTCTTTACAGTCAATTCTGCCTCACAGATGGACCTTACTGTGCTAAACAATAATCAGTAATACTTTTAAAAATATATAAAATAAATATTTTTTTTAGAATATAATTTATTAATTTATACAGCAAATCTCTGTTTTGAGGCTTCATCTAAACTACAATGATCTCTAATTATTTGCATATGAACAACCAGTCATTAAATAGACTGATTTAAGTCTGACATATTCCAAATCTGAAAAAAAAAAAAAAAAAAAA